TAATGTTCTTTTTAGCAGCATCATATGACCCCTTTAAACAAATGTATGTACAATTTAAAAAGTCTTACAGCATATAGGATTTGTTTGGAATGTGTTTTGGAAAGCTGAATTTTGTGGACTGGAAAAAGAAACCTACATTATAAAAAGCGGGCTCCTTGCAAACCAGATTTCTTAGATTTCTGTCCTGCAGAGTTTAGCTCCAACTTGCCTCAACACACCTGCTGGGAAGTTTCTAGTATGCCTAGTAAGAGCTTGATTAACCGGTTCAGGTGTGTCTAACTGGGGTTGGATCTAAACTCTGCAGGACATCAGCCCTCCAGGACCGAGTTTGGGCACCCCTGCTTTAAACTAATCAACAATTAAAAATATGGGAATAAAATAGGTAGTTAGTTAGATAGATAGTAATAGATAGTAGTTATTAACAGAAATGTAATTTTTTTTTAAATAATTTTCACGAAACTGAAACAGCTGAGCATTTTCATGCGAAAAACTATCAGGGTACGGAAATACAGTACTTAATGCATTTAAAATACTTTTATTTTCCTCAATGCACTCTTTTCTAATGTTTTCTGTGTTCCAGTGGCGAAGCTACGGGTCCTTTAACAATGAGAAATACATTCGTTACTAGATTTATTCATTTTTTTTAGACGTGACATGTGGCCAAGTATGGTGACCCATACTCAGAATTAGTGCTCTGCATTTAACCCATCCTAAGTGCGCACACACACACACACACACCGTGAACACACACCCGGAGCAGTGGGCAGCCATTTATGCTGCGGCACTCAGGGAGCAGTTAGGGCTTCGGTGCCTTGCTCAAGGGCACCTCAGTCGTGGTATTGAAGGTGGAAGAGAGCGCTGTACATTCACTCCCCCCACCTACAATCCCTGCTGGTACGAGACTCGAACCCGCAACCTTTGGGTTACGAGTCCGACTCTCTAACCATTAGGCCACGACTTCCCCATTAATGTTAGTTAAAGCAGGCATGAATGTTAACAGATACAACTTTTTATAATAATGTTTTAGTAAATGTTGAAATCAGCATAGGCTAGTTTTAATCAATGCTTCAGAAGTTTCTGGCCTCGCCCTGCTGTGTTCACAACATAAACAACATTTTATTAAACATCAGTGGCATTTGAGGGGACAAAGACTGCTTGTATCCACTCGTGAGAAGTGTTAATGATTGACAGGACTGAATGATTGGGCTCCTTTCGAACCTGCGTGAACAACTTTAGAATGAAAGACCTTGTGACCTTTGTGTCTTGCCGTTTGTATTTCCACTGTGTGAAGGTAAAATCGTACAAATATATGAATGAACTGCTGGTTTTAAAAACTTCCAGCTCTTTTTATGACCTCCGCTTCGAACATTATATTGCTCACGAACGATGACTTTCTTTAAATACAGTAAACCCACTTAACCAGCTAACTAATTACTCAAAAACGGAATTTCAAAGACAGGTGATGGTTTTGATGGCTGCACTACGGTGGTTGAGAAGTGCTAAACAAATCACAAGTCTGAAAACTAAATAACAAATTACAAACGCAAATGCAAGTCTAAAAAACAAAATAACAATTCAGAAAGCACAACAACAATTCAGAAAACATTATAACAAGTCAAAAAACACAATGGCATACATTGCAGGGATAAGCTAGGAGCAGACATATATGCAGATTTTATAAAGAAAAAAATGATTTTGGTGTAAGAATCACATTTTTTTGACCAAAACTATATTTTACTTAGTACTAAAATTGTTGCAGATTAAATCATATAACTTACATTATTTACTAACACAAAGTCTAGCAGGTTTAGACTTATTTTCAGGTAATTCACTGCTATACTAACATGTCTATAGAAATTGATTTTCTAAATAAATGCAATTCATTATAAACACTAAGGGAGACCAGGTATGGTTGTAACGTGGGGAGAGTTGAAACAACACCATTCCCACCTATCATGGATAAGCTAGGAGTCCTATGATAATTTCATTACTTACCCACTTCCTCCCCGATCTTATATCAATGCTATCAAGGCTGTAAATAGATATATGCAGATTTTATAAAGAAAAAAGTGATTTTGGTGTAAGAATCCAATTTTGTTTTTGCTTAGTACTTAAACTGTTGCAGATTAAATCATATAACTTACATTAGAATAAATTGTAGATTCTTAGGCAAAATGTGATGCATTTTTAAACTGCTAATTTCAAACCAATGTGCTAATACAGCTAACTAAACATTGGATGGCAAGGGTGGGGTAAGTTGTAACACATTTTAGCATTCCCTTACATAGAACTGAGAACTTTCATGTTGTCTATATGGAGCTTTTTTGGCAGCTCAAAGTCAAAGAAAGTGTGGGTAAATTATTTTTTTTAAAGCAGCACTATGTAACTTTTTCTGTGTTCAAAATTTGCAAAATGTATATAATGAGCGAGTACATCATGAATTCACCTTCCAAACCGCGTTTTTGTCTTATTCCGAATCACTCCGGTACACTTATAATAAGTACTTATAATTGGACTATTGTAGCCTGGTCGCCGCTGCGGAGTAACACATACCTGCGTGAATCGCCATAGACATACACTTAGAGAAGTAGATCCGGTTGGAATGTTCTTCCGCGGGATGTGTGCAGTTCTGTTTATTAACCGCTAGAGCGCCAAAGGTTACATAGTGCTGCTTTAAATTTAGTTTGACACCATTGTGAATCTGATTGAGAAAATTCATACATAGACACAATCTCACACACAAATATACACAGTTTTTGTTAGATCTACATATTCTTTACTTCGGTACACTGGAGTTGTGTTCGGTAAGCATAAATACCGTTAAGGAGGTTTGTTCTAGTAGTCTAATTTATACACACACGCACACACTCCTGCATCGAACAGAAAGTGGATTTGAGCTGTGGTCATTCGTAGACAGTGCGACATTGCTTTGCATTGTTCTTTTGCAAAATTCAGCGAGTTACAGATGCTGAAACAAAAACTGTTACTGCCATACCTGGTCTCCCCTCAACAAAATATCAGCAAAAACACTTTTAGCTTACACTAACCTGTTGAACATGTGTTTCCCATCTGAACTGTAAAATAGCGGGATCAAATGGTTGTGCGATAAGAATAAACTGCCTGTTTTCTTGCTGTGCTTGTTTTGTCAGGAGTCTCCATGAACACAAGACACATTTCTAACCAGCTACATCTGCTGTAACACAAAGCCATGGCTGCTGGATCCTCATCAAAGACAACTGGTAGGCATCTATTTAGAAAAAAGGTCAAATAAAAACGTAGAAAATTATTAATTTTAACAAGGACGTGTGTTCTTTTTAAGGAGACTCACCTCATCTGTCAGAGATCAGAGTTGTGCTCTTGGGAAATGAAGTTGACAAGAGCAAAGTGGTCAAATCCATCCTGGGCTGCAGGGATCTTACGGGAGAGAACGTGGGTCAGTGTATGTTATATGAAGGTGACCAGGCTGGAAGGAAGATCAGTGTTGTGGAAGCACCAGGATGGAACTCAATGCAGCAAACACCAGAAAGCATTAAGAAATCAATCAGAAGAAGCGTGTCTCTGAATCCTCCAGGACCTCACGCTCTGCTTCTGGTCATTCCTGTGAAGAGAAATGAAGTGCCTTCTACAGGTGATATTAAAGCAGAGATGCACATGGAGTTACTGTCGGAGCGCATCTGGAAACACACCATCGTCCTGTTCGCTTGTGATGAAGGAGTGGGAGAGTTTGCCGTCAAAGCTTACATTCCGAAAGCAAAGAAAATCCTGGAGAAGTGCAAAGGCCGAACTTACGTTCTTGAGAGAGATAGTAAGATCAGTGAGCTTCTTCAAAAGATAGAAGATCTGGTGGAGGAGAACTGTGGTGATGTATTCATACCACAGACGTACTATGAACTGTTTGAGTGGAAGAGAGTAGATCTCCGTCGCAGACGGAGAAGTTTAGAGTGGAATCCTCCTGACAGTGAGTGTTTTTTTTTATTAATGGCAAACACGTGTCTCACATGTCACTTATGCACTAATCTAATGCTGTTTTCTTTAACAGTGACCAAAGGGAAGCCCGACTTTGTGAATGAGCCACAAGCACTTTTGATGCATTACTTCAAACCCATCTCAGTGATAGCGCTGGCTGTATTCGGAGCGCTTCTCGGCGCAGTCACTGGAGCTGAATATGGAGTTTCGGGAGCTGGTGCTGGATTACTTTTGGGAAGCATTCTAGCAGTTTTCCTTGCCTTCTTGATCTTTGAAGTAACAGAAAACAGGACCAATTAGTAATATAGTTAAGTTACACACAACCTAACAATCTGTTAATAGTCCGACTGAAAGCTCAACACGACTGAAAAACTGTGCTGTAAACATTGCATATTAGCATTTTAAATATACATTTAATAATTAGCCATGTAAAACTTTTGAATCTGATTACATTCTCAACCAGATCAAAAATACTTTGCGCACATGCACAGTGCAGTAGTGCATGTGTTTATTTACATCTTATGAATGTCTTAAACTGGAGAATGAATATTTTTACATAAGAATGAAGATTTGTACATAAGAAATACGTAAGAAAAATGCTTTCCTGGCCTGGTGGATTTCTCCACATTTCTCTGTTTCTTCTGAATGTGACTTCAGGCACTCTTTCATATAAATTTATGTAATGCCCAAATTTATGGTAAATATAAACAATATTTTTCAGGATCCACAATTGGATTGATAAAAATTAGTGTGTGTGTGTAAACATAGGCCTACTCATAGTCCTCAAGCAGCTAGTGATTTTTTTTTTTAAATATGAGAATAAAGCACAAACCCATATTTCACAGTTGTCTGATTATTGATTTGCCAGGTTATAGATATTTATACATACAGATACTGTGAAGTTTTGAGGTTTACTATTCAAATGATGAGACATTCCTGTAGTTTAATCAGCAGCAAGTAACTGTCAAATGTATAAATGTAAATGTAAAATAATGCGTAACATGTCTATGGAAAAAATGTACGTGTAAGCAGGTACGAGACTCGAACCCGCAACCTTTGGGTTACGAGTCCGACTCTCTAACCATTAGGCCACGACTTCCCCATTAATGTTAGTTAAAGCAGGCATGAATGTTAACAGATACAACTTTTTATAATAATGTTTTAGTAAATGTTGAAATCAGCATAGGCTAGTTTTAATCAATGCTTCAGAAGTTTCTGGCCTCGCCCTGCTGTGTTCACAACATAAACAACATTTTATTAAACATCAGTGGCATTTGAGGGGACAAAGACTGCTTGTATCCACTCGTGAGAAGTGTTAATGATTGACAGGACTGAATGATTGGGCTCCTTTCGAACCTGCGTGAACAACTTTAGAATGAAAGACCTTGTGACCTTTGTGTCTTGCCGTTTGTATTTCCACTGTGTGAAGGTAAAATCGTACAAATATATGAATGAACTGCTGGTTTTAAAAACTTCCAGCTCTTTTTATGACCTCCGCTTCGAACATTATATTGCTCACGAACGATGACTTTCTTTAAATACAGTAAACCCACTTAACCAGCTAACTAATTACTCAAAAACGGAATTTCAAAGACAGGTGATGGTTTTGATGGCTGCACTACGGTGGTTGAGAAGTGCTAAACAAATCACAAGTCTGAAAACTAAATAACAAATTACAAACGCAAATGCAAGTCTAAAAAACAAAATAACAATTCAGAAAGCACAACAACAATTCAGAAAACATTATAACAAGTCAAAAAACACAATGGCATACATTGCAGGGATAAGCTAGGAGCAGACATATATGCAGATTTTATAAAGAAAAAAATGATTTTGGTGTAAGAATCACATTTTTTTGACCAAAACTATATTTTACTTAGTACTAAAATTGTTGCAGATTAAATCATATAACTTACATTAGAATAAATTGTAGATTCTTAGGCAAAATGTGATGCATTTTTAAACTGCTAATTTCAAACCAATGTGCTAATACAGCTAACTAAACATTGGATGGCAAGGGTGGGGTAAGTTGTAACACATTTTAGCATTCCCTTACATAGAACTGAGAACTTTCATGTTGTCTATATGGAGCTTTTTTGGCAGCTCAAAGTCAAAGAAAGTGTGGGTAAATTATTTTTTTTAAAGCAGCACTATGTAACTTTTTCTGTGTTCAAAATTTGCAAAATGTATATAATGAGCGAGTACATCATGAATTCACCTTCCAAACCGCGTTTTTGTCTTATTCCGAATCACTCCGGTACACTTATAATAAGTACTTATATTTGGACTATTGTAGCCTGGTCGCCGCTGCGGAGTAACACATACCTGCGTGAATCGCCATAGACATACACTTAGAGAAGTAGATCCGGTTGGAATGTTCTTCCGCGGGATGTGTGCAGTTCTGTTTATTAACCGCTAGAGCGCCAAAGGTTACATAGTGCTGCTTTAAATTTAGTTTGACACCATTGTGAATCTGATTGAGAAAATTCATACATAGACACAATCTCACACACAAATATACACAGTTTTTGTTAGATCTACATATTCTTTACTTCGGTACACTGGAGTTGTGTTCGGTAAGCATAAATACCGTTAAGGAGGTTTGTTCTAGTAGTCTAATTTATACACACACGCACACACTCCTGCATCGAACAGAAAGTGGATTTGAGCTGTGGTCATTCGTAGACAGTGCGACATTGCTTTGCATTGTTCTTTTGCAAAATTCAGCGAGTTACAGATGCTGAAACAAAAACTGTTACTGCCATACCTGGTCTCCCCTCAACAAAATATCAGCAAAAACACTTTTAGCTTACACTAACCTGTTGAACATGTGTTTCCCATCTGAACTGTAAAATAGCGGGATCAAATGGTTGTGCGATAAGAATAAACTGCCTGTTTTCTTGCTGTGCTTGTTTTGTCAGGAGTCTCCATGAACACAAGACACATTTCTAACCAGCTACATCTGCTGTAACACAAAGCCATGGCTGCTGGATCCTCATCAAAGACAACTGGTAGGCATCTATTTAGAAAAAAGGTCAAATAAAAACGTAGAAAATTATTAATTTTAACAAGGACGTGTGTTCTTTTTAAGGAGACTCACCTCATCTGTCAGAGATCAGAGTTGTGCTCTTGGGAAATGAAGTTGACAAGAGCAAAGTGGTCAAATCCATCCTGGGCTGCAGGGATCTTACGGGAGAGAACGTGGGTCAGTGTATGTTATATGAAGGTGACCAGGCTGGAAGGAAGATCAGTGTTGTGGAAGCACCAGGATGGAACTCAATGCAGCAAACACCAGAAAGCATTAAGAAATCAATCAGAAGAAGCGTGTCTCTGAATCCTCCAGGACCTCACGCTCTGCTTCTGGTCATTCCTGTGAAGAGAAATGAAGTGCCTTCTACAGGTGATATTAAAGCAGAGATGCACATGGAGTTACTGTCGGAGCGCATCTGGAAACACACCATCGTCCTGTTCGCTTGTGATGAAGGAGTGGGAGAGTTTGCCGTCAAAGCTTCTTAAAAATAAAGGTGCTTCACGATGCCATAGAAGAAGCTTTTTGTCTAAATGGTTCCATAAAGAACCTTTAACATCTGAAGAACCTTTCTGTTTCACAAAAGCTTCTTTGTGGCGAAATACGGTTCTTCAGATTATAAAAAGGTAAGAAAGAGATGGTTCTTTAAAGAACCTTTGACTGAATGGTTTGTTGTGGAACCAAAAATGGTTCTTCTGTGGCATCGCTTGAAAGAAAACCTTTTACATTTGAAAAATTGTCTGTGAATTATCTTATAAGATTATGTATATACAGTATGTGACAGGTAATGTGTTGTTTTTAAACACATCCGCATGCATAAATATGTTTGTCATAGGGCTTTAAATGACTGTACAAGCATGTGCTATGTAAATAAAATGTATTTAGACAAATATATTTCCTTATTTAGGATTTTAGAGGTTAATGCAGTAATTCTAAACTAGCATGGGCCAGTAAGCAGATACGGTTTTGGAAAACATTGCCATTCAGTGGCATTTCACTGGAGTTTAATGGTAAGTCATAAACACGTATGTCAACAATGGCAGTCCATTTTCCATTGCTGGAGTACTTTGCACCTAAAATGGTTTCAAAGGCTGCTGACAAGAGAAGCTCAGGCCGTGTTTATGCATTCATGACTTAAATACAAACTAATTACGATATAATGTACTATTCATATGTTTAACGGGCTTCATATTTTATGGTGAATTGCTTGAGGCTGTACATACTTCGGTTTAGTAGTTTCAAATTATTTTGTGATTCAATTCAAGTCATGCTATCAGTGCATCCATAATATAACATTACATCTGTATAAAGAAGAGTAAAAGAACGCTTCTCTAAAGAGCCAGTGTGCTACAATAGAGAGTTAAATACAAACACAACATGAAATGAAACATAGTAAATACCATAATAATAAGACAATAAAAACTGTGCACATGTCATCCCGAGATATGCAGTGCAACGAGCTCATATTAATTTAGAAATCAGTGTTTAATAAGGGAACAAACAGCATTAAAGTGATGTGCATGAGCTCACCGTTCAGCTCCACCAGAAGAACATTCCTTCAGACTCATGAGCTCTCGGAGGACACAACCCAGCAGCTTCAGACAGAGATGCACAAAAAGAACCAGTGGTCAACAAACAATTATGCCATAGTTTGCAATCGCGATTGTTGTTATTTCTTTGTAATTTAAAATTATTTTTAATTTATATTTTGGTTTAAGCAATTTTAGTACTTCAACTTCTACTTATTTGTGACCCTGGACCACAAAAGCAGTCATAAGGGTCATTTTTCTGAAATTGAGATTTATACATCATATGAAAGCTGAATAAGCTTTCCGTTGATGTATGGTTTGTTAGGATAGGACAATATTTGGCTGAGATACAACTATTTGAAAATCTGGAATCTGAGGGTGCAAAAAAATCTAAATATTGAGAAAATCATCTTTAAAGTTGTCCAAATGAAGTTCTTAGCAATGCATATTACTAATCAAACATTGTTTTGATATATTTACGGTAGGAAATATCTTCATGGAACATGATCTTTACTTAATATCCTAATGATTTTTGGCATAAAAGAAAAAATGTATAATTTTGACCCATACAATGTATTGTTGGCTATTGCTACAAATATCCCCCAGCGACTCAACTCTGCTTTTGTGCTCCAGGGTCACATTTTATTTCAGTTTTATACAGCATTTCTACTTTTTTATATTTTCATCCCTTAATATTTTATTTTATTTCAGTTTTATTTTCTAATGAATGAAAATGCATCACCCTCTGCTTACAGTAACTCAGTTTATTTGTAGCTGATGTTGTCTTACTCTCTCTCTGTGGTGTTGTCAGGTGATAAGAGCAGCAGTCGTCCTGTGCTGTTCGTGTTGGATGAGTTTGATCTGTTCGCTCATCATAAGAACCAGACGCTGCTGTATAACCTGCTGGATGTGTCTCAGTCTGCGCAGACGCCCCGTCGCTGTGGTGGGACTCACCTGCAGACTGATGCGTCTGCTAGAAAAACACTACACAAACATGTCAGGACTGCCAACAACAACTTCTTCATCCTAAATTAATCTGCCAGGTATAAATGTAAATTCTTTGCAATTTAATGTCATCATTTCTTACATTTAATATTCTAACTCTTTCCCAGTGCTCTCTTTTAAGAAGTGATGTACATGTTATGCAAAAATTATTCATTAAGGTTACGATATAACATGCAAATAAAAATGAAAAAAATATATACAATTGTGCATTGTGGCCTAAATATAATACTGACCATGTAAGGAACATATAAAAGGAAAAAAGTTGTAGTAATAAATAGCTTAAGATTTAAAGTTACTTTACTCAACAAATACGTAAAAAAATATAAATAATAATAATTATATGGCATATGTTTTTGTTAAATGTGTTTTTCATTGAAGCTGATTTTTACTAATGCAACATCAGTACTGATTAAAGTTCTCCATGCAAACTTCATGCAAAACCCGCTGAAATGTATTGTGCACTGTTTTATTGATTTATTTTAATGCATTGTTTGTTGTAGCTCTAGTTCTCAACATTATAGATGAGGAGGTGATATGAAACCAGAGCTGATCCTTCTCGAATCATTCGTTGTGGTGTGTTTGTGTGTTCCAGGACGTGCTGGAGCTGCTGGAGAAGCGAGTGAAGTCTCAGTTCTCTCACAGACAGATGCATCTGTTCAGCTCGCTCTCGTTCAGTCAGTATGTGGATGTGGTTCGCGCTCAGCTCAGTTTGCCTCCAGACTTCCCAGATCCCAAATTCTCAGACGAGTGGAACCACAGCATCACGGTACAAATGCAACACACGTGTCTTTCTGTGCTTGCAAACTAGTCCTACATACAATCACTGTTTCTTACCTCCGTGTTTTCTGTGTTTCTAGAAATTATGTGAAGAGAAGTCAGTTGAGGAGCTGAAGAACCCTTCAATTTCCAGATGGTCTATAATGGTACGACATCCTTAAGCGCTCATGGAAAACCTGGACATTTTAAAAAGCCTTTATGTGTGTAAATGTTCATCTGTGAATGCAAATACTTGCATCAGTTCACATGAATGTAATTCTCTCTGTCTCTCAGAGTTTAAGAAGTTCATTCAGAGGAAGTCTCACTCCATCCATAAGTTTGAGAAGCCCGTGGTGATGGAGGTCAGTTTGAGCCGCTCTTTTTCATGCACGTACTTTAAATTGGGAACAGAATATGAAACAAACTGAAAGTCGATACTTGCTTATTGTATGTTGTCCAGTTTGCAAATTAATCATTCTAATCGTTTCAATCATTTCAGATGTGTAATCAACTGATTAACAAAACTGATCTGAAATATTCATTCATGAATTAGATGCATTCATGCATCCTCTCGTTTTATGTTCCATGAAAGAAAGTCAGGTTTGAAATGACTTGAGGGAAAAAAATTATGACTTTAATTTGAGTTTAATTAAAATATATGGTTTTAATGAAATATGTTTTTCAATTGTGTCACGACCTGACCAGTCTAGTGTTGGTAAGGCCGAATAAAATTAAAGAATAATTTTGCTCCTCCTCTCCTGTGTTTATTGGTATATGGAATAAATAAAAAAATTAACATGTTAGTGTTGTTTTAGTATTATTTATATACTATTATAGTATTTGAAGAGTTTCATTGTGCATTCCAATTAATCTCAGTCAAAGTGCAGTTGGGTTATTTTGATTAGGTTAAAACATAACTAAAAATACAGCTAACTAACACAATAAAAACATGATAACATAATAAAAACATGATTTTTGAAAATGTAAAATAAAAATGTATATAATTTTTAAACTTCATTAAATATACCTAATTTATTAATATTTTTTAAATTAGCTTTATTCTTTTTTTTTCATTTTAAAGTTTTAGTAATTTTATTGTCTGTTGAATTTTTTGGGCGTACAGTTTCTTAAAAGACAAATTTAGAAACATTTCTCGTTCATTTAAGGCTTTTTGCAAGATAATTTGACTACATAAAATGAAAGTTTGTCACAATGTCTACATTTTTAAGTTTGATTTTTTTTCAGTGCTCACCTGTGTGTGTGTGTGTGTGTGCCTGTGTGTGTGTGTGTGTGTGCGCACGTGTCTGTGTGCGTGTGTCTGTCTGTGTGTGCGTACATGTGTGTCTGTGTGTGTGTGTGTGTCTGTGTGTGCGTGTGTGTCTGTGTGCGTATGTCTGTGTGTGTGTGTCTGTGTGTGCGTCTGTGTGTCTGTGTGTGTGTGTGTGTGTGCATATCTGTGTGTGTGTGCGTGTGTGTATCTGTGTGTGTGTCTGTGTGTGCGTGTATCTGTGTATGTACATTTGCGATATTTCGATATATTGCACAGCCCTACTGCTAAACCTGAATGAAGATGTCTGTATCTGTACAGACTTTTTAAAAAATGAAGGCTAAAATTTGAGCTTGACTATAGAACGGAAAAATCGCAAACAAGATCACTCTCATTTGTTTTTTCCTATACACCAGTGAGATTAAATGAAGGGCAAATGGAATCTTTTTCGGAAGTCTGTTGCTTATCAGACTTATGTATGTATGTATGTGTGTGTGCGTGTGTCTGTGTGTGTCTGTGTGTGCGTGTGTGTGCCTGTGTGTGCGTGTGCGCACGTGTCTGTGTGCATGTGTCTGTCTGTGTGTGCGTACATGTGTGTCTGTGTGTGTGTCTGTGTGTGCGTGTGTGTCTGTGCGTATGTCTGTGTGTGTGTGTCTGTGTGTGCGTCTGTGTGTGTGTGCATATCTGTGTGTGTGTGCGTGTGTGTATCTGTGTATGCGTGTATCTGTGTGTGTCTGTGTGTGCGTGTGTGTATCTGTGTTTGTCTGTGTGTGCGTGTGTATGTGTGTGTGTCTGTGTGTGCGTGTATCTGTGTGTGCGTGTATCTGTGTGTGCGTGTGTGTGTGTGCTTGTGTGTCTGTGTGCGTGCGTGTGTGCATCTATATGTGTGTCCGTGCGTCTGTGTGTGTCTGTCTGTCTGGGGACATATCTGTGTGTGTGTGCGTGTGTGTATCTGTGTGTGCGTGTATCTGTGTGTGTCTGTGTGTGCGTGTGTGTATCTGTGTTTGTCTGTGTGTGCGTGTGTATGTGTGTGTGTCTGTGTGTGCGTGTATCTGTGTGTGCGTGTATCT